AAAATAACAAAAGTCGTAATTATAAAACACAGAAAAAAGCTGAAAACTATTTACATAAATACAACTACCAAGACGGGTTGTGATGTATGGTGCGGGGTCTTTTGACCACATATTCAACAGTAGGGTCATAATCGCACAGGCTTCTAATAGAAGCGTAGGAAGAGGTTCTAAGGCTTTCAAAGAAATTATGTGAAGTGATCATCAAAATTTGTTCATGCATGGCCTTCACATTCAGATCCTCCTGAATTTGAGAGTTCCTCACAAACCACGGTGAGTTCACAATCGCTCTAAGTATTTTATTTTTGTATTATGTCTAGTTTAGCACGCTCAGTCTTGTTGGCTGTCGCCCATGCTGGCACTGCGTATAACATAATCGGTCTGATTAAGGACAGATACAGTGTTCTTTTGATTTTTATCGATAAGTTAGACTTCCTGCCAATCAAGCTGTAAAGGGCACAGACCGCAGCATTCGCCTTTTTCTGCTACGGCTGTAACATAGTATTTAAAGGTAAGCTTGCTATCTATAATAACTCCTAAATTGAAACTAAGCAACAATAATAATTTTACAGCAATATTACTGTCCAACCAAAATGTTTGAAACCAAACAACGTCTGACTTGAGATGTCCTGAATTACGCATTTGCTTTCCACGCTTTGGCCTAGCTAAACTCCTGTCTCTCTGCTGCTGCTTTCTTGCTACAAAGTTATAAAAAATGTAAGCCTTTTGGAAAAACACATTTGATAATGTGCCGACTTGTGTGTAGCCGTACCATGTTGCTAAAAATAAAAATGAAGATTTAATCTGCATTCGCCTCCAATTTCCTGGTCATTGCTTCTGAGTTTGAATATATTTCATATATATATGCAATAATTGTACTTTTGAACCAAGATGAAAACAATGCACGTTTAGTCATGGGCGAAAAAACTGCTGCGTAGATGACTGGACATTATGGCCTAATGGATGATCGGTTGGAGTTTTTATAAGCACGACAAGCTTGATAGTTAAACATATATATGCATCAGTACTGACAATGTTCCCCCTGTTTGAACATTCTTATCATATTTTATTCAAGAATTGGCAAAGAGTTCTATAACAATAATTCGGAGATTCAAATTCCTACTTACAACTTTTATTCAGCCATTAATTTACTCGGATATAAACTTGAAACCTCTGCAGTTCTGTTACCTTTTCTAAATTAGAATGGTTTTAGAGAAAACATTTAATCCTAGTTTTAATATTTGCCTATTCAAATATTTTACTTATTGGTTAGTACTTAAAAACATGAATAAAAGATTATACTAATATTAGGATCTTCTGTGGGAACAAAATCCTAAGCGCAGATATTCGGCGCAAACGGAGTTACAAACCAATCGAGTCGGACGCCTAGGCACTTCGGATTTCATCACACGAAGTCACTGAAATCATGTGAGTTTTCAGTTCCAGTATCACTCTCGGTGAGTAGGTGAACTTGTCAACAGCGCGGTATTCGTCTGTATTGCGTATGTTCAAGTTACAGTACTGGCTTCCTTCCCATGCAATTTTGTTTTTTTATTATTAAAAAATATAACACTTTTTTGAAGTATGTGATAGAACAGACCACTATATTCCGTTGTGATTTTAGAATTGTATTTGAGTAATTATGCCGCAGTCGAATATGACATTTTTACGGTATGGATGGATTTTCAAGTAAGTTTCTAGATTTCTAGCATTGTTGTTATAACTAACAAGACTCTGTTTGCTGTAATTTTGTGCTATAATTGTTACTCAGGTAACAATATGTATAATAATATGTTTATTTAATTCTTGATCAAATTAATGGCAATAGGCATAAGAGTATTGTCATTATTTACTGTAATCTTTCTGCTCCGTAAAAATAAACGAAAATGTATCAGAATTGAAGTAGTATTTTCTGATAATCATTAATATGTTAATGAGTGACCAGGTATTGACGAAACAAAACATGCTATATTAATCAGCAAAGGTACTGACATGCATGTATTGAATCTTATTAGTGATATATAGTTGTTGTATGTGTTGATTTCCCTCAGTTTATTTGATAACACATACATTTTGAGCATGCAAAGTATCTGATTAATGCAGTTTTGTAACTTAATGTTTTTTAATTGTGTATTTAAATAGCAAATGTGAGCTTACATGTAAATATTAGAATGATTATTAGGCTATGTGGAAATAGGGTTAGATACAATTTTTTAAAACAGGAGAGGCAATGAATGTTTACTGTGTGAATCAGAATAATTTGTTACATTATTGATCTTGTTATAATAGTAATTGCTTGTAAAATATTTTTAATTAACGAGCGCTGATTTAAAGTATGCATCAAGCCAAAGGAAAATTATACATATTATATTTTAATTCTGTTTGTTTATGGAATAACCATCAAATTAATTTTACTGTTTTAAGACTTACAATAGTTTATCAGTTTGGGAAACACCGAAATCTGTAAAAGATTATTATAAAAGTTGATAACATAAGTTTTCAACTAAAAGTAATTTTATACATATTTTGAAGATGGAATCATGATCTAACAGAAGGCTTTAGTTTTCTTCATTTTGAATAAACTCCACTGATCACAGTTTTAAACTGTAAAGTATGAAACAGTGAGCATCAAGCATATCCTAAAAAACTCTCATGGAGTGTAATCCCAAATCCTTAATACTTGGCTTCACGGAAAATATGAATGATCTGCCTATAAAAAGATGTGACATAAAATGTAGAAGGTGCCCATGGGAAATGAAAATTGAATAGCTACGTATCATAGTGGCAAAAACAATAACACCGAGTGATATTTGATCTGTAGGTTTTCAGAAATATTTTTGGCAAGCTAGTTAGTCTCTGTTATTAAAAAAAAGTTCAATTTAACATAAACCTTTGATGTATATTCAAAACGTAGAATTGATGTAAAAAAGTACTTTCTTGCCTGACTGTTTTTTAATTTGCAGTCATTATATAATTAATGTCAATATTTTGTTTTTTTGTGTGTGACCTTTTAAATTTTAGTCATTTGTAGTCATAAGTTTGAATTTTGTTTTGCAGGATTAAAACTAACATAGATTTGTTTTTCTAAAATTGATCTATTTCAGATATTTTGTTGTAAAATTTTGAAGTAATATTTAATGTAATTATTTTTTCTACACTATGGCTTACTTTACATTTTAGTAAGTGTTGCCTGATTAAAAATATACACAATGAAAGAAAAATATTTATTTATTTTACTGTTTTTATTTTAAAACTTAAGATATCCTGATATAATTAGTGCTAAGGAGTACTTATCAAATATTTTAAATATTTTAACATATTTATAATTGAAAAAAGTTTTCTTGAAAAAAGAAAATCGGCATGTCCATTATTTCTTTGAAAATTGTTTGGAACTCGCAAATCTCTACCACACATATAACAAATTATATAGCATATGAATGATAACAGGCATAAGATTCTTCTTTTAGAATTTTATAAGCAGCTTTATTCACAAATACTATGAAGCAACACTTTTCACAGAGTTTTGCATATTATGAAAATGATATTTTTCTAAATTTGAAAATAAAAGTAATGCCTGCTTTCAAAACTTTGTGCATTCTGTACTTTTCAAGTTTTAGAGTCATTAGGATTTTTTTTTTTTCTCCCTGGAAGAGAAAAATGTGCAGTGCCCTCTTTGGGACTTGAACTTGGTGCCAAATATGCTACTGTTACACCACAAAGGCATGCCAGAAGTAGGGAGAAACTGCCTTATTTATATTCCCTCTTTTAAAGGGCAACCGAAGATTAGGTGACCCATTCACCAAATCTTAATGGTGACGAATTATTGTCCAGCATGTTTTCAGTTCAGGCATCGGTGCAAAGTCATTCTTTTTTATTTCTTTTTCAAGTCTTCTGCTTAAAGAAAAAAATGACTCTATAAAGTATTTAATAAAAAATTTCAAGTGCTGTGTAGAGTTTGTGCTTGACTTCAGTCATAGTCATAGTCATAGTTCCTTGAACTATGACTGTAGCTATGACTACAGTCGTAGTTCAAGGCTGTGCTCAATGGAAATCATTGAAATTTATGTGAACTTTGCTAGCCTTACAATTTTTCCTTATAATTTTCATAACTAGTGTAATTTATCTTATGTAGGAAAGACCCAAATCAGACCTAAGCTTACATCAGACATCTTAGACTTGTATACTTTCAACTTTCACTATTCTAATATGACATAGAAAGGTTCATAATTTTTTATTATCAGCTCTGGATTTGTATTTTTGGAACTACTCTTATGCGCGCTCAAGTCGCCAAATTTCTCGCCAAACATTTTTGGCGAGAAACTCCACGCAGTGGAGTAGTGAGCATAACTGGTGCCCGGGGCAAAATACTTTTTTGGCACCCCCATCCCCCCCAAAAAAAACACAGTGATATGATGAAAATCTTGTTTGGAGACCATTTGGCACCCTTCTGCAAGCAGCGCCCGGGGCATCATACACCCCTTTGCCCCCCTCGCTACGCCACTGACTCCATGGTGCCATATTACTATCTAAACTTTTTGTCTACATTTCCAACTTTAGGCCTAAAATGTCTCCATGTTTCGCACATGCAAAAACAACATTTTGAACACACAATTTTAGCTAAAAATCCAAAACAAAAAATTTAGATAGCAAAAAGTTTTCTAACCAAAAATATTTGACAAGAATCTATGTACACAGCGATATGTTTTAACTAAAAAATACGAATTGCACAATCTAGGCACGAAGAAACACTACGCACACCTCGCTTTAAATTAACGTACAACATAAATTTCAAACAATACATGTACACAGCGTTCTGTTTCAACTTTAAAAACATCTACGAAGTTCACAATCTAGGCAGCAAAAGAATCTACGAACTATGCACAGCTCGCTTTTATAAATTAACATAACAACAATAAATTTCAAAGAATACCATGTACACAGCATCTTGTTTAAACTTAAAAAAATCTACGAATTGCACAATCTAGACAACGAACGAATCTATGAACTACGCACACCTCGCTTTAATAAATTAGCATAATAAATTTCAAAGAATACCATGTACACAGTGTTCTGTTTCAACTTTAAAAAACATCTATGAATTGACAATCTAGGCACTATGCACTAATCACAACTAAACTAAAAATATTTAAAATAAATTTCAAACAATTAAAAAAACAAGAATAATGACCAGAAATTCATACTAAAAAACAATGAACATAACATTCTACAAATAAGAACAAGAATAAAATAAAATGCCTTCCATAATGATGCTTTTTCGAAGGCAGCAAAATACCAATTTAATGCCGCCATAATCACTATCGTATTTATATGACAGCCAGACACACTATCCAGAAAATTCATACTGTGGTTCACAAATAAATGTTCAAAACCTTCTTTTCCTAAATCCTTGTAAGATTTCCAGCCATCCGAAAAAATAGTTGTACAAATTCTCATTCCACTCTTTAATACACTGCATCAGCATTTTCTTACTTCTATCATGCACAGCCACTAAAAATAATCTCCCAGACCCTGTGGAACCCTCTTGGAACCACATCTCTCATTGCAAGATAGGCCATTTCAAAACGCACATGTCACAAACTAACAAGCAATTAAAACACTCCAGCAAAAGAGTATTTAATGTCAAAAGGGTTGCCATACAACATGCAATCCTGCCAAAAACCAGTGCAGAACACATCACCACATTTGGTGATCTTAAGGCACATATAAATGTAGGGCCCTATTTTTTTGACTGTTAAGAGTAATGTGTTTGTCTGAATTTCTAAGCTTATCTTCTAATCAATATCATTATTCTTATACCCATGAAAAGAAATACACTCTAGGTTGTATGTCACTAACTATCATATTCCACATTAGCTACTAACTTTGATAACTATCAAACTTTAATTTTTATACTACTTTGATAACTATCAAACCTTAATTTTTATACTACTTTGATAACTACCAAACTTTAATTTTTATACTACTTTGGTAACTAATTTTTATACTACTTTGATAACTATCACACTTTAATTTTTATACTAACTTTTATCTTAAACAGTTACTAAAACCTTGATATTAAACAGAACACTTATACTCTTTACATTCTTGTATACTTTTCATATCTGAGAAGAATTCATTTAATACATTTTTATATCATTTAATTGAATATTGTTCAGATATTACATAGCCATGACATGATGTTTAGCCCTAAGAATTCTTTCTTCCCAGATACATGCAATATCTTAAATTTGTAATGCGAGCTGGCTTCATTTGCACTCACTGCGGTGTGTAGTTAGAATGCAACTGAGCTCATTGATGACAATCAAAAGTTTAAGGTTAGACGTAATTTGGCCTTGCTTTACTAAAAATTGTTTTCATAGTCAGGTTTCGATTTTGACGCATAGAGTAGGTTTTAAAAATTGCATAAGAGATACCTGACATTTGTTACCTTCATCAATTTGATTTCTGTCTTTTTTTTCATTTAAAGTGTAATAATATGTTTAGATAATGGCAAGCAGTTTTTTTAAATATATGCTGGGTTAAATGCAATGTATGCAATTAGACAATGGTGCAATTCAAAATTTGGCTCTAGTGCAGAATCGCCCATTTATACAACGCGTATCGATATGTACATGGACAAAGGTCAAGGGAGTGGGCAATGCCAAGTTTTTGCAATTCTCTGATGTTTT